ATTGTTGGGTCCTCGCATCTCACGTTTCAACGTTGTCTTATTCAATAAGGTCCACGTGATAAAAAGATGTGTCATGGAAAGACTTGCCAAAACCACAGGGGTGGGGGTGGGAGAGAGGGCACCCCTCCATACTAATACTAAATATATACATAAACGTGCAGTCACCCAAGTAGGTAACATGTTCCTTGGCAGTAGGCTGTATTGTGAATTGACCTAGCATCGGGCTGGGTATACATTCAGTTCGGTTAGGTAAACACGACAGGATAGCTTCTGTCGTACAGATCATTGTCAACTCGATGTAGGGATACATATCGTTAACGTCATGTCCTTGTGAAGGCCATGTTGCAGCATCTGTAGTGCGATGCGTTATAGTTTTTCTTTCTCCCAGAGAATTAATCAAAAGAGGAGTCTAAATAGACTGAACAAGACTTGTTATTTACTCATTCATTCAGAGAGATTGTGCCGACGAGGTATCACTGTACTCAGCACATTTAAGTTAATGCCAGTCGCTTTGAAGCAATTATCAAGTAAATTACTCACATTTGTTATATTTAAATGTGACTAAATATTTGGAGTTACTGAACAGATGCATAGTCAGTGGAAGACATTTTGGAGTTTGACAAACTTAGCAACAACTCATCACATAACAAATAAGACTTAGTAAGAAAACTCTTTCCATTAGGAAGTTTTGTAGGACAGCCAACATTCGTGCCTCCCCCCCAAAAATAAATACAACACCCCAAAAAAACCCTAACAAAACAACAAAAAACAAAAACAAACAAACAAAAATATACAAACAAAAACACCAAACAAACAAAACAAAGCAAACCAAAACAAACAAAACAAAAAATAAATAAAATAATAATCAATTACTTATATGTATTAATATATAATAAATAAAAAATACCTCTCCCCTATAAAAACAAACAACCCCCAAAAACAAAACAACAAAACAAACAACAACAATAAAAAGCAAAAACAACAAAACCACACAACCACTTATATTCTATGTTCAATAACAGATATTCCTCATTAGCTTGAAACATGTACAGACGTAATGCCTAATCCATCGAAATTGTTTAAAATCTATCACTTATGGAACTTTTCGAATACACATTTGTCAATAAAATTGGGTTAAAACCGATGCCATAGTAGTATTTAAATAATTTTTAGTGGATCTTAAATCGGTTCTCTTTCCATAAAAAGACATATTGGAACTATCTATATATACATTGGCGGGAGTTGGAAGTGATATGGAGTCGTACTAACGCTGGTGTTATCGGTGAGTTATATTGTTATTTTTCTCCACTTTGCGATTAGATTAAAATTATATTATTCTTTGGTCTTGTCTGTCCCCACACTTCACAGGGGCGGTGGGGTAGTCTTCGTCACGCCGAACACCCGCGTTCGATTCACCACATTGGTACAATGTGTGAAGCCCATTTCTGGTGTCCTTCGCCCTGATGTTGCTGGAATATTGCTAAAAGGGGCGTAAAACCATACTAACTCACTCACCCACCTCACAACTCCTCAAGCTGAATGTTTAGGTATACATGTATTACAATGCCGTAATAGCTACATTCATGGCTGTAAACATCCTGCTATTTCCTAATGAACTACAGAGTTCAAATTAAAAATTCAAATTAAAAATTATTTGTCGGACTTGTATGTATATATTTTAGAGAAATGTAATTTCGTTTATCAACAGTAATAGACTAATATAACTTCCACCATCTCCATTCAGTTTGACAATTTTAACAGCATAGTATTCTAGTTTATAATTGCATTTGTATATGTTTTTACACTATTTTGAAGATTTTAAGATATATCTTTGGTATTGAAATAGGAGTTGTATAAGTTACCAACGTGCATCTTTGTCGCTAATTGTAACATAGATTACTTTAATAAGCTATGGTCAAACTGTCATGCTTTATTCTCTTGAATCTATTTAAAAAAATACAAATTAAAAAAGTAAAAACTCAAATAACAATGAAGATGTTGAATTGTGTTGCTAACAGCCACTGGTATTCTTGGAAGGGATGATATCTAAACTTTGGATCTTACCAGACGTGCGGCATTTAGTAACTGTTTATGGTATATATGTTAACATCTCCGCCATATAGCTGGAATATTGCTGAGAGCGGCGTAAAACTAAACTCACTCACCGTGTTAACATTTTAGTACAGGACCAAATGTATGACATTTACGGTCTATAAAACATAAATGTGTACTTAGGTTTTTGTTGTTGCTTTTATTATAGTACTTAGTAATGTCCTTGTAAGCAATGTCTTTATAGATCTACTTCAATACCCGATATATTCTTTCAAATATACACAGAACATATGTCAAGTATATATAACACGTCAGTTTAGTGATACGAATGAATGATGTGCGAGGAAGTATTCAGCGTGTTTTTGTTTAAATAGCATAATCTTACATATTTATACTCTCTCCCTTTCTCTCGAACATACACACACACACGCACGCACGCGCGCGCTAATATATATTCTATAAACGGCTTCTAGTAGTTAGTGAGTTTAGTTTTACGCCGCATTCAGCAATATTCCAGCTATATGGCGGCGGTCTGTAAATAATCGAGTCTGGACCAGGCAATCCAGTGATCAACAGCATGAACATCGATCTACGCAATTGGAATACGATGGCAGCGAGCCTGACCACCCAATCCCGTTAGTCGCCTATTACGACAAGCATGGGTTACTGAAGATCAATTCTAACCCAGATGGGCGGAGGTGTAGCCAAATGGTTACAGCGTTGGCTCGTCACGCCGAAGACAGGGTTCGAATACCCACAGGGGTACAATGTGTGAAGCCCATTTCTGGTGTCCCCCGCCGTGATGTTGCTGGAATATTGCTAAAAGCGGCGTAAAACCAAACTCAGTCAGTCTTGGATCTTCACGAGTAGGCTTGTAGTAAGGATGATATGCAAAGAGTGTAATTAACAGTAGCAACCAGGAGTACTAACAATAAATTAATTTTTCGAAAACACGTCCTGCATTAGGTTTGCACCTATTCGATAGGCCTTTTGAAGAATGGACACTGGACTATTAACCATGCATATCAAAATATGTTCGAGGACGTGAACCCTCATCACGACAATCATTGTTAGAGTGATCGCGTCATGCTTCACGTGGCAGTTAACAGGAAGTGTTGGGATAAAATGACATATTTGTGCAGCAAAAAAGATTCCAGTTCTATTTTCAAACTTTTCTATAGAAACGATTACTATGTGTGTGCGTGACAAACCGTATTTGCATTCTCAAACACGGTAGTTAAAACACCAATTCAACATTACCGTGGGGTGAAAAGGTTCTCGTTATCTTAAAAAAAACGTAGAAGGTAATGCACATTAGAATATTACATGTGTATTGCATACAATGCATATACATGCACACATATGACATTTTGTAATGGCTTTTTATCACTACTTCCTTCCCGTGAAGGTCCGGGTTAGTGTATTGATCTTCAGTAACCCATGCTTGTCGTAAGAGGCGACTAACGGAATCGGGTGGTCAGGCTCGCTGACTTGGTTGACACATGCCATCGGTTCCCAATTGGGTAGATCGTTGCTCATGCTGTTGATCACTGGATTATCTGGTCCAGACTCGATTATTTGCAGACTGCCGCCATATAGGTGGAATATTGCTGAGTGCGGCGTAAAACTCAACTCACTCACTACTTCAAACACAGTTACATCCATCACTAAAATATCGTGGTAAATCACTGTCCGTCGTAACAACGGTTTTACGCCGCTTTTATCAATATTCCAGCAATATCATGGCGGGGAAAGGATACCAGAAATGGGCTTCACACAATGTACCCATGTGGGGAATCGAACCAGGATCTTCGGCGTGACGAGCGGACGCTTTAACCATTAGGCTATCCCACTACCCTTAACGAGGATGAAGATGAATTAATTCCATGAACTAACTACCTTGAAGAGTCTACTTACTCTATGTCTTGCTTTAGCCCGGAATGTCCAGCACTAGGCTCGGTAACATTAAATACCATCTTTGAACGTATTTTGATAGGGAACGGAAAGGTGAACTCTCGTCATCAGATGGGCGTCCTATCCACTACGCCACTAATGCGGCCCTCCTGTGTCATGACACAGTAACACAATAACACAACGGTTGGAGCACGTGAAAGCACGATAACTTGGTTCTGTGTACACAATAGCTTATACAGGCAGGAGTGATGACACACTTGTACATCTTGTTATCACAATGTCAACACACCTCAAAGATGAACACCGGAGTTTAATCCGATAGAAGTTCACCTGTACATCCCGGATGTAGCTGAATATATTTAGTCTTTCAGATTCTTCTCACCACGAAGAAAAGCTGTCAAGTCATATCTTTCAGAGCGATTGTAACCTCGATAGGTGCTAGTTCATAAATATGAAATTTGATGGTAAGACAGTTACACAAAACGTCATCTTACCTGCACAGGTATGTGGTTCGTGTATCCATTACTGTTAACTTAACAGTAGAGAAACTGCACAGCACGGGTAACTTCCTGGTTGCCTCGAAAACTGGATCAAATGTGACCGACCTTGACATGAAACGTCAGGTAAACCCGGATGAGCGAGCGCTTTCTTCCATCGACATCGTGATGTGTAAGAGTCGCTGTTGAAACTGGTTCGAATCAACATGATGACTTGATACGTGTCTCGTTGATAATATTATTCTGTATGATCGATTTAGTGTTTACTGTTTGGATGTGACATATGCCGGCCTTATATAACAATAGCGGCTTATTATTTGTGATTTATGATGGGGCTCTATTGAGCTTTCTTGAGCGAGTGATTAACGTTTTACGCCATATTGTAACCATGTGGATATCGAGTGAGTGAGTGAGTGAATTTAGTTTTACGCCGCTTTTAGCGATATTCTAGCAATATCACAGCGGGGGACACCAGAAATGGGCTTTACACATTGCAACCATGCGGGGAATCGAACCTGGGTCTTCGGCGTGACGAGAAAACGCTTTAACCACCAGCCTACCCCACCGCCCCTGTGGAGAATCGAAGGGCTTATATTAACATATGGTACTGAATAATACGCTGACGCTGAATAATACGCTGACGAGTGACGCTGATCTCAAATGAAACATATATTTATCACGAATATTATTTTTCTATACTTTCGTCATTGAGTGAGTGAGTATTTTATGATATGGTCAGGAAAAATACAATATACAAGACTGATATGCCATCTGAAAGGAAAGCCGCGAAAGTTGAGATTTTTTGGTGTCAACGTCAGAAAACACGAGGAAAGTTTTACGATGTTGACGCTCTGTAAAGAGTTCTATAAACGCTAGGTATTGTACCGTCTTAGTACCTTTTAACAGATCTTACAATGTACATTTTCAGCAGGTCCCGCTACTGTTTTCTAAAGGTCATCGTATAGTTTCAAGAGGTATGCGTACAGTTGTAAACAAGTTTGGTACAGTTTCAGATGGTACTCTTATAATTGTCAACAAGTCTTGGTACAATTTAGACATGTAATCGTACAATTTTCAACAAGTGTTGGTACAATTTAAACATGTAATCGTACAATTTTCAACAAGTTTGGTACAATTTAAACATGTAATCGTACAATTTTCAACAAATTTTGATACAGTTTTAACAGGTAATCGTACACTTTTCAACAAGTCTTGGTACAACTTTAACAGGTAATCGTACACTTTTCAAGAAATCTTGGTGCAGTTTCACCAGATAATCGTACAATTTTCAACAAGTATTGGTACAATTTCAGCTGGTAATCGTACAGTTTTCAACAAGTCATGGTACAGTTTCAACAGGTAATCATACGGTTGTCAACATGTCTTGGTGCACTGTTCCAGGGGTCTTGTAACAATGAGTTAGAGATGCAACCGTGATTAATTTGTCAGGATGACATTGTTGTATCAAGGGCAAACGAAGCCCAGAAACAGGCCACGGGAAGAACATTCCCACCAATTCCATGTCGCCAATCAAGCACACAATGCCTGCAGGTGGTCAGCTCCAGTCAGCTACACGGCGCTTCAGTCTTACACCATACTCATATACCGTCCCGATGGCCATCGTCGTGATTCATCTGGAGATGAGCAATCTGTTGTTCTATGAGCTGATGGGCCTCAAGGTAAAGGCTAGCCGAAATGGGAAGATCGGTTTCTACAGTAGGAAGGCCTCTCTTACGACGACTGAAAATCAGCAGACAAATATTTGTGTTTATGTCGCCATAAAACTCAAAACTATGGAATGATAGAAGGAACATTGCCGTTTTGTCGCCCCTACAAAAGCAAGCAAAGAGTGACAAAATGAACTTAAGCTTGAACATGCTACAAGGCAATTTGTTACTTCTAGGCTTCCGTACGAAAGCCATGTCTTTGTGTCATTATAATCCGGGGGTTTAGTATTGATGTTTACCATGCACTTAAACATTGAACCAATGAAGACAAGCATTCAAGTTAATAATGTTACTTGGGTGACGCATGGTCACATCTGAGAAACTAGAGTGTATGCTAATAATTAGAGTGGCGTAAAACTAAAAGCTTAATGTGATTGGTGCTCGATAATTTATCGATCATTTTACTGCGTCTAAATACAGTGTGTTGTTTTGAGTATAGGTCACAATGAAGTCTCGATTTTCAGGCGAAACAGATTACGCTGGGCATAAAAGGCAAAACAGTAATGTAAATTATATGTATACATCACTGACAATCAATAATGACACCAGGTGTTAGCGAAATAGACATCAGGTCAGTAATGAAATAGACATCAGGTCAGTAATGAAATAGACACCATGTCAGTAATGAAATAGACACCATGTCAGTAATGAAATAGACACCATGTCAGTAATGAAATAGACACCATGTCAGTAATGAAATAGACACCATGTCAGTAGTAATGAAATCACCATGTCAGTAATGAAATAGACATCACGTCAGTAATGAAATAGACATTATGTCATACACCATGTCAGTAATGAAATAGACACCATGTCAGTAATGAAATAGACACCATGTCAGTAATGAAATAGACACCATGTCAGTAGTAATGAAATAGTCACCATGTCAGTAATGAAATAGACATCACGTCAGTAATGAAATAGACATCAAGTCAGTAATGAAATAGACACCATGTCAGTAGTAATGAAATAGACACCATGACAGTAATGAAATAGACTTCATGTCCTCCACAGGTAGCACTAGTCACTCATCCAGTTTAAATCGAAGTACATTTTCTCCATTATCTCGGCAGTGTTATGCTATAACTTATAGACCAACAGAGTTTTCTCTTACCTCACACATATGATGATAATGATGATGATAACAATGATGATGATGATGACACTGCCAATGGTGACAGGAACGATGATTGTCCATAGCTTGTCTTTCCACAGCAAGGAAAACAAATGGAATGTGTTATTCGAAGCCTTTAAAATACAGAATTGAGCAAATTGTCAATAAGTAAATGTAAATGTAGCGCTGTTTACGTCCGCCATGATCCGTATTTAGTTTAAATCACGGAGTACCAGCTTGATGAGGGAAAGCCCGAAGTATTGGTCTCAGCCATTTAAGGGACTGTTCAAAATTTATGGCTGAGGTGGTTTGTGTGTGTGTGTGTGCGTGCGCGCACAGTGTACAATGTGAATGACACACCCTTAAATTTATGTAAAGAGTAAGTCAACCAAAACATATTTTGTAATTAATAATTCCGTCTAATTATCTCAAAAAACGCAAAGGAAAAGACAAGGAAGAATACAACCAAGACTGGAGGTGGTTAAAATGATAACACCAAATTTGGTGGTGATATATTTGATACTTTCATTGTATCAATACGGGCGCTTAAGTTGTGCTTTTGCTCTTAAGCTTACAATGTGTTCCAAACTGTTTCCAGTCAGGTAATGTGAACTTGTACCAACGCTTGTAATGTTTTGGTCAAATGACGATAAAGAATACTTTCTGCTGCCAAGTAGTGTGTGTGTCTGGGGCATAACGTGTGACAAACATGTAGTTTGACAGCAGTGGTGTGACCGGGGCGTCAGGTGTGGTATCTAAATAATACATAGCCAGTAGCACTTTCAAGCAATATGTGGGTGGTGGGATAGCCTAGTGGTTAAACCGTTCACTCGTCACGCCGAAGACCCGGGTTCGATTCCCCATATTGGTATAATGTATGAAGCCATTTCTGGTGTCCCCAGAATATATTGCTGGAATATTGCTAAAAGCAGCGTAAAACTAAACCTCAAGTAATGCGTATGGAATCCTAGAAGGGACATTGTCGCGTTGCCGCATTGTCGAGTGGTCGCCTCACAGAAACAAGCAAATGTGGCAAAATTAACACAAGTGCAACTATGCGACAACGCGACATTTTGGTCATTTGTCACATTGTCCCGCTTTGAATAATATTTTTCTATTCATCTAAAGGACGACAATGCGATAACATGACAAATGACCCTTCTAGGATTCCATAAATATGTGCACATCAGATACATACCATTGTACAGTACAAGAATATCACACAACTTATTAAACATAGCATTAAAAGCCCTGTCTATAAGATTTCATGAATAACTTGACATATCTAATATCATGTCGATTATACCAATTTGAATTTTTACAGAGCTTCTACACTCAAGCAGAAGAAAGATGTGACTGGTCCGCCGGCATTCGAAGACATACAAGAAGGACATACAAATGTACCTCATGTATCTGTTAAAGGTTTTAGGAAAATTGAAACTGGTACAGTTCCACGCAGCGATCTTATTGCTCTTGTGATCGTACTGTAAGCTATAACATATCTGACACAGTAGCTGTAGTTATCTACCTACCCACGTATGTGACACAGGCGCTGTACAGGGTGTAGGCGATGTCGTTACTGACGTTGCACTGGACACAGAAGTTTCCTCTCGAAGCAATACTTGAGGTCACGAGCAGGGTTTTGCCGTCAATGAAGTCCCTCACACCTAGAAAGGTATGGTTGTATTATGTTAAGTCAAGTTAATCTGAGAGTCTGAAATGATATAATATAACTGCGTTAAGTGATCAGCTAATTTTGAAACTAGAGTGAATAGTTCTGAGAGAAAGAAAATAACTTAATACCTCACGGCCGATGGTTAAAAAATATAGAGCCATATATACTGTATACTAAGATATACGTAATGTAAAAGAAATAAATTATATCCATTTTAATTTTCAGGTGAGAACGAAGGAAAAATGTAAGTTATTGAACTGGTAATCGCCAACAGCAATTTTGTTCATATGTTTTTAAAAAGCCTTGTTATTTTTCAACATTGTGAAAGGGCGATTAGATTCTCCACCATCATCTACTGGCCATCCATCAAGAATCCATATGGATTGCAGCTGATCATCTTCAGGTGCGCAGTGGTACTTCACGCTAGTTCCGGTGTGGAGGACACGTGACTCTATGGGCTTCGCCAAGGCTGGTGCTCCTGTTTAATATGATGTAGATGTTCTGATTTATGATATTGACATACATACTCAACTACATTGCATAATGCCCGCACAGCATGAGAAAACAATTATCTAAAAGCCCATGCAACCCATGCTTGTCGTAAGAGGCGACTAACGGGATCGGGTGGTCAGGCTCGCTGACTTGGTTGACACATGTCATCGTATCCCAATTACGTAGATCGATGCACATGTTGTTGATCATTGGATTGTCTGGTCCAGACTCGATTATTTAGAGACCATCGACATAAAGCTGGAATAATTCTGAGTGCGGCGCAAAACAACAAAACAACCAACCTACCTTTAAATAAAGCCATTTAACAAGCTAACGCTGAATATGAGTATGCTCGAAAATACTATGCCAACATGGCTTCTTATCAATAATCATTATATCTACAAGAAAACAACATACTTTTAACACGTAAACGAATCTCTGATTGAGCTTCTCCTTGTGGGTTTTTCGCTGTACAAGTATAACTACCACCATCACTGACGCTGACGTTGGCTATACGCAGTTGCTTCCCTTTAGTCGCAGGATAGCTGTACTTGCGATGAGCCTCATGACTGTACTTCCTTGTCCATGTTACCGTGGGCTCGGGGCTGAAACAACATAATTACACTAAATGACATCCTACATTGTGACGGTTAGAACATCTCCACTCTATTCTCTATATTTACTATGGAAATGACGTCATCACTCCATATTATTAGAGCATGAACGTCGTTCGCTGAGGAAATGGAAGTCTACAATGATATGATTTGGGGTCATTACAAATTCCTTCACCACATGTATTATTATATAGAGTGCCATAACATTATTAAATATGTGTTTCAAATTGAACGTTACACCCCTTGATGATCTAATGTGACTATCCCGATAATACCACTACATTGTATTTGCAGGTGAGGTGAGGTGAAATTGGGTTTAACGTCGTGCTTGAGAATATTTCGCTCATATGACGACGTGCATGCGTGTGTATGACTTAAGCTGGTTTTATAGTGCTAGCCCACTGAGATACCATGCCGCAGTGAAGCATGAATACCCCACTCAGACACATTATACTGACTCCGAGCCGACCAGTCCTTGTTGTACCCATTAATGCCGGGCGCCAGGCAGGGACCAACAAGTACCATATTTTAACGTCTTTTGGTATGACGCGGTCGGGGATCGAACTCACGACCTTCCGCTCTCCGGGCGGACGCTCTAACCACTACACCACGGAGGCGGTCTTGTATTTGCAGTCTTGAGATATGTACATATGTAACCTGAATCATAGATGATTATGTTTACTACGGATATAACATCATAAATATGTTAAAGATAATAATACCATTCATGTATATAAACGCACAATTGATGAAGCTTAACAACCTTCTACAGGTCACACAGCAGTGATATTCCAGCTTGGTATCGATATGAAAGACAGTAATACCAAGTATATACTAATTTCCAGTCAATTAATGTACATTCATAACTGTTCATCAACAGATAAGAGATGCTTTAAGGAATATTGCGGCATGGGGTAGTCTAATGGTTAAAGCGTCCGCTCGTCAAACCGAAGACCCGGGTTTGATTCCCCACATGGGTTCTATGTAGGAAACCCATTCCTGGTGTTCCCCGCCGTGATATTGCTGGAATATTGCTAAAAGCGGCGTAAAACCATACTCACTCACTCACTTTAAGGAATATCATGGACCGGGCACTTACTCTCCACCGAAGCTGCACTCCACTATGACGTCATCGCCTTCAGCAGCTGAAGCTGTTTCAGTACTGCTGATGAGAAATGGTTTTCTGTCGATTCGATCTGGACAACAAACATGAAGTTCTTGGCAGTGACAAAAACGTTCAGACCTTGAGGTTTAGGTTTGTTTCGTTTGTTTGTTATTTAACTATTAATTTATCAATATTCCTGCTATTTGATGACGGTCTGGAAATAATCGAATCTGAACGAGACAGTCCAGTGATTGATATCATGAACATCGATCTAGGCAGATCATGTAACCTCACCCACTTATTTTCCCCACGCATGGATTGCTAAAGTGAGTGAGTTTAGTTTTATGCCGCTTTTAGCAATATTCCCGCAATATCACGGCGGTGGACACCAGAAATGGGCCTCACACATTTTACCCATGTGGGGAATCCAACCCGGGTCTTCGGCGTGACGAGCGAACGCTTTAACCACTAGGCTAACCCACCGTCCCTGGATTGCTAAAGGGACATGCTTGTCGTAAGAGGCGACTAACGGGTGGTCAAATTTCCTAAGGCGATACTGATGGCAGTTAAAGAGATTTTGACATCCTGAACGATCGAATGATCATGGTCCTGGGTTCGAATCCAGAATTCACCAGAACATTATTTTTGTAAGCACTTTACCTGCTTGTTAATGTCTAAAACCCACATCACTTAGGTTTTGACAAGGTGCGTAAACTGACGATATACAACGGAAATATACTGAAAGAAACAAATAAAGAATCACAGGAAAATTCAAGCATTCCTTTATTATTTTCCAGTTTTCATCGCCACAGCGCTATTCAAAGATGGTGATGAAAACTAGAAAATATTAAAGGAACTTTTGCATTTTCCTGTGTTCCTTTATTTGTTTCTCTCAGTATATTATTATATACACACTTTAACTCCGGTTTCACTTTAACTAAACGGTTTCACTAACCTCGTAATGATTCTAAACATTGTTTGCTTGTCTTAACCTTGTATATGGAAAGTGACCAACTCGTGTAGACACAAGCCGATTAGGGACTCGTGCCCCTCTGAAAGGTTAGGAACATCAGAACCTTCCAGGGCATATCTCTATTCCTGTTTGATTCAATGATACCCGATCTTAACCCTATTGCTGGGCATTATCTTGGTACAACTAAAAGACATGATTTGTTAAAGACATATTCTGACGTAACAACCAGATACAGAACCTGGCCCATTTGTTTTATTGGAAGCATTTGTGTGAAAAAAAAATCCCGTACATTAAATCCCAAAGCAGAAACTCAAAAACTCTTTGTTATTTTCAAACTGGACATACGTGTAACCTTGAACCACAAGTGGCGAATCGCTGAAAAGATATGACTGACCACAAGAAGATCAGACTAAAATATTCCCAGAGAATTGAAATATATGCCCAATGTTAAAGATTAAAGTTGATTAGTTACATACAGATATAATATTATTGTTTTGAAACTCGTAGCGATTTATGATTACATTTCCTAAAATTGTTGGAAGCGCACGTACAATCTCCATAGCAAGCCCGCAAGATCGTCAGAAACACCCTCAGACCCATGAGAGCCGTTATGTCAACAAACGCACGTGCGTGTATTTGAATCTCTCGCCGTCAATCGCATGATTCTTATCAAAAACACCATAATAGGCAGCAAAATCCTGTTAGCTAAGTTCTTTGTACTTTCAATATGACGATATATAGTTTTCATGATTTTTTTTAATTTAAACAATGACATAATGCCATAAACGAGTTAAGTACTCAGGATTATTTTACCAAAGCACCGCAGTCATTTACGCGCGTTCTGATTGGTTTGTCGTATTTTCGCACATAACAAGCATCGAGAGGGGGACGAGTCTTCTTGCAGGTTACGGAAAGGGGCGAGTGGTGACGAATGAATTGGAAGCTGCTTTACACGAGGAATGGCGTAGACTGTCCCTTTAGAAGATCAGGACGCTGACAGGGGGTATGAGGAGGAGAGTGCTGGCTGTCATACAGTCACAACGAGGTTACACTAGGTATTGACCTTGAATCGTGTAAGACACGCAAAATGTCATTTTGAATGTTCACATTCACCAATAAATTCAACATTAAACATACTTGTACAGAGATGGTTTTGTATTTGTTTGTTTTTAAATGAGCAATTATCATCCTAAAATCAACATGGATTCCAATCATTTTGTCGTTTTTATGAGTCAAGGGATCATACAGTCAGAATGTTTATCATCCTGGTCACCACGAGAACCTTTTTTATGCACGTGTTGAAAACCTATCATTGCAAATATACAGGGGATGCTTATTAAGTTCTTTGTGCATACATTCCGTATTTGCTAATGTTTAAAAATGAAACAAACAAGACTTTATCATTAGATGATTAATGTATTTGAGGACATGAATAACAGGCATGTATTGGACGTTCATTTCACTGTGACGTTTTGATAACGTTGGTAATTCCATGGTCATTAGTAGACGGATAATAACTCGGATAATCAACATACGTGTCCACGAGTCCTTCAAGACAAAGGTTGTATTCCCTGTAATGGTCTGTTGTAGTATGTTGTTGCGCACCTCACAGTTATATGGCTTTCCAAAGTCATCAGATGTGAGGTAGAGAAAGTTTAACGATCCTGAAATCAGAAATAGATACTTAGAAAATAGTTACTGCAAGTTCACATATATTAAATGAAATAGCTTCTCAGAGAAGGTGCGATTTAATTTTCACATTCATAAAATGACTCGTCTCGTTTACGAATATATTACATAACATTGTTCCAAGTTTTAAAAGCGCAAGTACTTTTAAGGCCCTCAGATCCGGTGTTCTGGGCTCCGTTGCACAAACTGATCTTAGTGCCACGATTATCTATGTGAATTTATGACACTAAAATAGCTTTATGCAACGGGGCCCAGAACAAGGATGAGTATACAGTCCGAGCGAATTAATAACGCGTTATGTTTATCTAAAACCTTGAATTTTATTATGCGGAAACTTTAAATGTTAAAGTGAAATATTAAAGTGTCATCAAAACAGATACGGTGTAGTGTTGATTTGGACAAACGGTGGCAAAGTTTCGTTTACTTGAGATTTGGTTCAATCCACATTATAGTTATTCAGTGGCCCCGATTCACTCCATAATTTTATTTTTATAAAATCCTTAATAGAAGTACATATTTACACGCGTGTGGAGCAACACACGCGAAACCGCCCTCACCTTACGCATGCATAATGGTGCATCACCTTTACTCATAATATAATCTTTTGCGAAATCATCGTCGAACATTTTTTTAGATTTACAACTCAAAATAGAACATAAAATTTGAATAAGGGGGTATAATAGTGGGAAATTAGACCATGAAGAAAAACATAACATAAAAACAGGTTTAGAGACGTGAAAAGATCATGGCAAAATAATGGGAAATTGAAACAAATGACGAATATAGTATTCTTTACAAGGTCTTCGTGTAGATGTTGTTTATGTAGCTCTTATGAAACAAACTGCAATGTATTTCCCGTGTAGCTTGTTATCACCTAACGTGTTTTAATGGTTTCTTCATCCCTCGTTGTTCGTTGCCCATGGTAACTGTACGATCGAAAGCAGGAAGTATGTTCTTATATTAGGCACGGAAGGGGAAGAGATTCAGCTGGACATATCCTGCTGTGACACATCTATATATTAAGAGTCAATCCGTCTTTCTATGAACAGTACAGTTCTGTGATGACAAATAGCATCCTGTGAACAAAAGCTGTGAATGGCATCACTGACCAGCTGTCATGGACAAAATCCCGACGACGAACTATTCGTGTGCGTCTATGCGTTGTTACATTTACATCTTGGCGGATCCAGAAAGTGTATTAAATGACCACTGAAACTTTCGTGAAAATGAAGTGTGCACCCCACCTTTCTCAACTGCCTGTCAGGCGCTAGAAGCTTAATATTCACATGAGTTATCTCACCGGGTACCCATTTTCTGCTGGGTGAATAGAGGCAAATTTGAACAAACTCTCTCGCCTAAGGTGAGACCACATTATCACATGTCCTTCGTTGTGGGGCAAGACTGAAGTCCTAGAAACTCTTAGGAGTCAAGCTGCCAAACACGGTCACCCATCCAAGGACTCTCCGCACCAAACGTTGCTTAACTTTTACTGATATGTCACCTGAGCTCTATGTACAGGACCACCACTTTAAAGCCATCTTGAAACAATTGTTTATGGCATCGAACGCCTTGGACACTAAAGGATATATATTGTGAGACAAGCGTCCAGTCATGTTATAAAAAGGCCATCGAAAACATGATTGTTTGCTTTCAATGTTTGTTTTTGGTTTAACGCTGCACTCAGCAATATTCCAGCTATATTGCGGCGGTCTCTAAATAATCGACTCTGGACCAGACAATCCAGTAATTAACATCATGAGCATCGATTAAATGGGATACGATGACATGTGTCAGCCAATTCATCCGATCCCGTTAGTCATTTCTTACGACAAGAATGGGTTGCGGAAACCCAATTCTACACGGGTTCGAAAAGACAGGGCATTGAAGAGATATTAATTTGTAAACGACATATTTACTGTAATATATTGTATTTCGGATACACTTTCTCAGTAAAGTACATATTCTATGTACTTTTGTTGGGTTGAGTCCCATCCGGGATTCGAACCCACACCCTCAGAGTCAGGCACCTAATCGCCAGCACACAAAGTCAGACGCCTAGCCCATTCAGTCACCTCGGCTTCCACATAATCTAAACTGAAGCCGAAAGCTATAAATACCCAATGTCATTTAGAAAGTGATCATATATAACATATGTTACATTTGATCACTTTCTAAATGGCATTTTGTATTTATGACAGATTTAATGATTGTGCTGAACAGGTTCTAGCGTATGCCTAACTATGAGTTATGTACCGACAAAATGCATACCGTCAATATCTATGTACAAGTGAGCTGATTCTGTGACGTCTTTCTTGTCTTTAAACCACGTGACTTCACCACGTGGTATGAAGTACCCCATGACGTCACAGGGCAGGAGATGTGGGTCTCTGATGATATGATGCCAGAAGTGAACGACGGGTATTTGTGTGAGAACTAAAAACATACAGAATGAGTGAGTTAAGTTTTACGCCGCACTCAACAATATTCCAGCTCACATGGTGGCAGTCTGTAAATAATCGAGTCTGGACCAGACAATCCAGTGATCAACAGCATGAGCATCGATCTGCGCAATTGGGAACCGATGACATGTGTCGACCAAGTCAGCGAGCCTGACCACCCGATCCCGTTAGTCGCCTCTTACGACAAGCATGGGTTACTGAAGATCAATATTCTAACCCGGACCTTCACGGGTCTACAATCAGAGTGTAAGTTACTAAAGCCAATAACATATTGCACAAAATCTAAAATATATATCATTATATGGCGTAGTGTTGGACAATATTTTGTAAAATGCCATTTTGACGTCTATGCTAAAAATCACGTGTTTAAGAAATTAGTGGAAACTAATGATTCTCGAGAAAATGTTTTGAAGGAAGTTATGAACAAATGTGAGTTTCAATGGACTTTAACCTTCCAGAAATCAGAATGATTGTCCCAGAGCAATAAATCAAGAAAACACACATTCTGTCTCTTGTCCTGAAGCGGATGGTGGAACCTCAGATGGCATGGGGAGACATAATTGCAATAGGACATTGAATGCGTTTATTCGAATCTCTCCAGCTCGCTGAAAGTGGATATTCATTCACGAACTGCGAATCGGTGTGTATTCACAGCGTCATACGGGGTGGGGGGACAATGGTTAAAGTGTTCGATCGTCACGCCGAAAACCGGGTTTGATTCCTCACGTGAGGACAATGATGTGAAGCCCATTTCTGGCGTCATATTGAGGGAATATTGCTAACAGAGGCATAAAACAATACTCACTCTTGGAGTCAACAGACGCTTAACTTGAATTTACTGGTGTGCATTAAAATACCACACGAGGACGTAGATTAAAACCGCGATTAGCACTTCTCTTTTAAATCGACATACTTAGTGTTGAACTACGAGTGGATTTTCAGAGTCAGCAGAAACGTGAGGTAACTGGATTTCAGTTTGCAGGCAGGTGCCATGATTGTATCTTGTAACAAATGTAATGGCTCTTATGTTTTGATCGTTTCAATGACAATTAATACAAATTGAACCCGTTAATTCATAATTCAGATTGTATATTTCATCCTTTTCAACTAAAGAGATGCTTGTATCTATACGGAACATATATGTGGAATGAGTGAGTTGGCTGTAACGGAATTCCAGTTACATAAGCGTGTCAGCTTGATCGGGGAGAAAGGGGATGAAGGTCTGTGACGTGTACCCCTTTTGTGTAACGGAATGATGCTGACAAATCTGGAAAGATATTTTAATCTGGGCGAAATGTTTGAATCCACGATCATAGGTCTCTGCCGCCCCAAGGGGCACAACTCTACACAACAATGTGCAGTGTCATATGTGTAGAAAGTGTGGTCCCTGCTGGCAAATGAGTGAGTGAGTTAGTGAGTGAGTGAGTGAGTGAGTATGGTTTTACGCCAGCAATATCAGGGCGGGGGAAACCAGAAATGGGCTTCACGCATTGTATCCATGTGGGGAATCGAACCCGGGTCTTCGGCCTGGCGAGCGAACACCTTAGCCGGTTAACTAGGCTACCCCACCGGGATTTGCTGGCAAATTAAGTGTACCACATGATTATGTAGATTCAGCAGGAGACGTATCGGTATGTCATAGGTGTAAGACTACAGCTCACAGGAAGCAGCCTCACCTGCAATCTTCAGCATAACTGTTTCCGACAATAGTGATCCGGTTGTGGTATTCACCAGGCAGTTGTGAGATCCCTCGTTTTCTGCCACCAATTGCCTCCTGAACATGCTGCCCTCTTCAGTCAGGGTGTCATACGTCGTGTCTGTTGTTACCATGGCGCCATTGCAGATCCACGATATCCTGCAACGTTTGTTCTCAAATGTGTAAATTCCAACACTATGATCTGGGAATCACATACATTACACAGCTCAAATTTTGAACAAAGTGCGTGAAGGGTTTATCACCACTTTGAGTGAGTTGAGTTTTGTTTTGCACCGCACTCAGCAATATTCCAGCCATATGGCAGCGGTCTCTACATAATCGAGTCTTGACCAGACAATCCGGTGAGCAACAGCATGAACATCGATCTACGCAATTGGGATGCGATGACATGTCAACCAAGTCAGCGAGCCTGACCCCCTCCGAACCCGTTAGTCGCCTCTTACAAGCATGGGCTACTGAAGATCAATTCTAACCCGGATCTTCACGGGTCTCACCGCTTTGAACAGTCTTTCAGTGACATCAGGTCCTGTCACCTAGATGTACGAGGGAAGCCTGAAATGGTGCAGTTTTTAACGTTTCCTCTTTACCTGGCTTACAATCCTCCATTGATAAACACGACGGGGTATTGGGAGGGCAAACAGGTCGGGCGTAGTTCCCTATTTACGGGCAATTTGGTTCATTCACGGCAGGATTTATATGTTTACCATTTTTTATTATCTTTAATTTTCTGTATTCCATCTCAATCAAATTAGAACTTTACAGAGTATGTTGAATAAGAGCAAACGATAGGAGAATATCTCCAGCTAAACAGACTAGAAGAATGTGTACCACTATGGTTAAATACACAAGCACAGGCTTTACATGGGACTAAGGGACGCAACTCAGCATGGAGAACTGTAGATTCAATAGCAGACAGCCACTAGTGAAATTGGTAGTGCGGTTGCTCATCAGGACCATGTTATGTTCGTCGCTAACAATGGGTCGAATCTGTGACGTTGTCTTCAGTCGCAATCGAATGGCATATTTATGCATGTATTTAAAAATATTCACTTGACACTGGCTGCAAAATAATCACATAGTATAACATGTACTGTCGATGTTATTCAAAACTTCCTTATACTTAACAATCAGAATCTTTATACATGTTATTTTCTGATTTGACAAGGCTACGGTTTACCCTGTTGTTCTTAGTACAGAAATGTACCTTTCCAGTGCATTGTTTACCTTCGAATTCCACTTAGAACTTCCTCGTCAGGGTCACACTGAAAGGTCACCACGCTGCCTTCCCTGACGTAATTAACCTTACTGTTGACAGTGATGGCCGAACGAGATACCCGAGCGTGTAATAGGATGTTCCCACTGTCTGTTTCCGCTTCCGGCATCCTCGAGTCTTTGCAGCCCATTGCATAAAGAAACAATTCTGTCCATATAACTAACCTCAGCTTACTGGGAGTCATTTGTTGGATAACGACGCTGCAAAAACAGAATCATCCTCGATGATCAAGATATTGTAGCTCCATTCTATTTTTCAAAGTGCCCTTGACCTATTCGGCAACATAGCTCCGGAAGTGAAGTCACCACTTCCATATCTACTAGTTGTTAAACATCGAATGTAACTCGGTCAGGTTTTGATGTCTACATTTAGCTTTAACTGAACTTAAAACAAATCATTGGTAGTGAATAATATTCCGGTTATACACATGTACTCCATGACTAAGTTGTTAATCAGTAGTGCAGAAAAACAACCGTTACGTATTTAATTTTTCTGTCGTTATAATAAAATATTCTGTTATCATTGGTGTTAATTTAAGTCTTAAATAATTCTAATTCGTCATTCGGTGAGTTATTGTCCTCTGATTATTAGCATATTCCCTTGGAAAGATGAGGAGCTGTAAAACACAAAGCAAAATTGCTGCTTTTTGTTTAACGACCAAATCATAAATGTTTCAACAGAATGAATCATAAATATGGACCAGACAATCCAGTGACTTCGCGTGCCACTGAGCAATGATGATACGCATTCCCCAGGGTTACATTGACCATCCAATCCCCTGTATCGAACAAAGAATTCCCATGTGGGCTGCACTTACTGGCATTTACTAAGACATTTACTAGGGAACAAACGATATATTATTTGGCTATCGTAAGTTATGGACAGGCATTCATACATGATTCAAACACAGAGAGAAAATTATAAATACGTCTGTTCTCACCTGGAATTTTTTACTCTTACACGGTTAACAGCCTCACCTGGGCTCCCTCCAAATAGCAACAAAAAAACCTTTTCTTTCTAGATTTTGCAGAAGCAGACAAATGTTGTATGTAACTTTTGTGAGTAAATGATGTCCCAACCCTTCTGACATGTGATAAAACCAAACGAGGAAATATTTATATGAAATGTGTACAGGTTTCGATATCATTGGTGTATCACGTCATTTAGGTTCTGTGCTAGGTACTTGGATGAACTCGGTTATCATATTACTGTTAAATATATTTATTTCCGTCTCACAATAGATGGCGAACCATTTTGTTAGCGGTTTGGAATTTCCTAGTATTTATTAGGTGCCAAAGAAAACTTGCTTGTTTGATTTTTAAGATTTTTTATTTATTTTGTTACATTTTGTCCGCTCAATTTATACATGTAGAAACTTTGCAGAAGGTTGTGTCCCTAGCCTAATACAGGGCAAGTTGATCAGTTGCCTTGGTTTTTATCTTTGCTCGTATTAGTGTATTGTTGTATATAATATGTTCTGGAATACTTGGACAGATAATATTGCTAGTGAAAAGAAGACGGAGTCGCCGGTAGTTCGTGTAAGTTAACTGGCATTCACGTTTCAGCACACGCATTCGGCATTCCCGCAACACTTGCGAGGCAAGGCAAGCCACAATCACACACACTGTCAAAAACCACGCGTGGTTACATCAAAATTACACACTTACGACAGCAAACGAAATCGGGCGAATCTGCTGGGTGTATGTAATTGTTGAACTGGCCAAAAACCGGAAAAGGCGTAATTTTCTTCTCATAATTAAAATTCAAAATAACATTATCAGCTTCTGACTAGGTTATAAACTACGTGCAGCTTATATGCATCATTCTGAACCATGATTCGTCTGTTTCCGCAGACAGGGAAAAAGCTATGTCCAGTCACACACCTGTTTTGATCGTTTTGCTGAATAAATTGTTTATTTCAAAAGAGCCTTTTGTGTTTCTTTACATGGAATGACAGATATGTTTGTGATGACACGGGCAGCTTGTGGTTAAAGCGTTCCCTCTTCACGCCAAAGATCCGGGTTCGATTGGGTACAGTGTGTGAGGCCCATTTCTTGTGTCCCCAGTCGTGGTATTGCTGGAATAGTGCTGAAAGCGGCGTAAAACTTAACTCACTGTGATGTTTGGAGACAAAACCTGATGAAAATATGACTGCTGCCGCTACTACTACTACCTACTACTACTGCTGCTGCTACTGCTACTACTACTACTACTACTACTACTACTACTACTACTACTACTACTACTACTTCTTGTTGGTCCCTGTCTGGCGCTCGGCATTAATGGGTATAACTTGGACTGGTCGGCTCGGAGTCAGTATAATGTGTCTGAGTGGGGTATTCATGCTTCACTGCGGCATGGTATCCCACTGGGCTAGCACTATAAAACCGCCATAAATCTGCCGCTATATACACGCATGAACGTCGTCATATGAGCGAAATATTCTCAAGCACGACGTTAAACCCAATTTCACCTCACCTCACCTCACCTCACCTCACCTCACCTACTACTACTACTACTACTACTACTACTACTACTACTACTACTAGTACTACTACTACTACTACTACTATAACCAGCACACGGCCGGGTAGAGCAGTTTTGCGGTGTGCACATAGCCATGGTGGTGGTGGTGGATATCTCAGTGGTGCAACGCTCCATAACCGGTTCACTGAGGTTTTATCCTGGATTGGGATATGGGATATGATCCCAAATGAGCACCGGTAATGATCCTTAGCGTGTCGGTCCATAACAGTGTTCTGACAGCGTGACTGTTTCTCAGTGTATCAGTGCTGGCTTTCTCTACATTACACCGAAAAGACTTGATATAAATGTTCTGTAAAAGGGTAGCTCACAAAGTCTGTACACGTATGTTTGAATACAGACCCAAGGCATGATTCGCCTTTTACAAAAATACCACTGTAACATCAGAAGATTGTGTGATTTCAAATTTATTTCTAGAACCTGATTTACAGAGGAAGGCAAGCAACATATATATATATATTATACACACATTTAATATTAGCAGTCATAAAATGGTTATGTCAATCCTAATCATAATAATTATAATAGAAACAACGAGGAACATTTGATCATGTTATCTTGGACAGTACGCACAAAATACAGTGTCTCATCGCGCCAATGTGGGCTCAGTGAGACGTAGGTGCCAGACCTCCATCAACACTCAAGGGGATTGAGAACCCCTCTTGTGTCGAGGCTCATTTGCATATGCATGATGCGCTGTTGTTATGGACTGTTGATCGTTTCCATACTTTAAATCATTTGTCTTTCAGAGTAATAATATTTCCTTCGCGTCAGTTAAATTTTAACACTGATTATGTTTGCTGTTTGTGTGTCACAATACATTTGAGCTGTATCTTAATGGAAACAGCAGTGTCTGTCCAATGGCAAGGGAAGCGAGCAATTTGCTGACAGTAACCAACGAGTGAAACCATTAAGCATGACAGAATTGTCAGTGACATAAATCGCATCTTCATCTTATATGATGAGGGGCGTTGGGGTTGTCTAGTGGTTCGATCGTTACGCCGAAAACCCGGGTTCGAATCCCCACATGGGTACAATGTATGAAGCCCATTTCTTGTGTCTCACGCCGTGATATTGCTGGAATATTTCCAAAAGCGGCGTAAAACTAAACTCACTCTATATGATGTTGTTCCAGAGGTCGTCCTGCTGTTGTTTCTTCTCGATCTGTGCGATTCGCCCTTTGTCGGGCTTCTGTTCGATCATCTGATGGGCTTCCCAGTAGATGCTCGCCTTGTTGGGAAGGTCCACTGTACTCCCGACGGTAGACAGACGCTTCTTCTCATTTGCCCTTCGGCGCCTGATAATTAAGTAAAGAAGAAAAAGTGTCCATGATCGCATCATTCGTCCCCACTCGCCCCATTCGTGACCAACTTGAGTTATTCCGGGACAAGCCGAATGGAGGTTACGGAAAAGGGCGAGTGGTGACGAATGCCTTCCAGAGGGGCACGAGTCGCTATTCGGCTTGTCCCGGAATAACACGAGTTGGTCACGAATGTGATCGCATGGCAGAGTTTACTTGAAAATGAGAGAGTGAGTGAGTAAGTTGGGTAAGTAAGTTTTTGCCTTCTGAAATTTACACTGTTAGGGGTCAAGTCAATATTGACTGTTGACATTTATACAAAAACAAACATGATGAGAGTGATTTTCATGTTGTACTTTTGTACATGTACTTAGATACATAATACATACCTCACACAAACGACGGTTACGACGATGACGATGGCGGCGGCAGTGACAATAACGACGGGAATAGGAATCCACCACAGCTCCGTCGATTGTGTACCTTTTCAGCAAAAACATGAAGAAAAAGTAAGGCCAGTGTACAAAAAACACGAAATTTCTTGGCAATCAAGAAATCTGTCATCACACAGACTGTTTCAGTTTTGCCAAGACTCATGTTAGCGCTGACCTGTGGAGATGCTTGTTACAATAATTGATCTTCAGCAATCCGTGCTTGTCGTAAGAGGCGACTGACGGATTGGGTGGTCAGACTCGCTGATATGGTTAATGCATGTCATCGACGGCGTATCCTAATTGCACAGATCGATACTTATGACAATCACTGGACTGTGTGGTCCAGACTCGATTATTTACAGACCGCCGTCATATAGCTGGAATATTGCTGAGTGCAGCATTAAACAGGAAACAAAGAAACTTATTGTCGCTAAATTCATGCTGTCAATACCGTGTTAAAGTAATCGAAAACTGCGTCAGTCTGATTCCTGTTTTTAGGTAAACCGTTCATCTGAAGTTTGTTCTTCAAAACACGTTAAGTCAGCTGTATGTCCAAAAGAGGACGACAAGATACACTTTCGTGTTTTTTATTCATTTTTGTCTTCCTTTTCAAATATTATAATGAAGTGTCATTACAAACACATCTGTGAACTTAAAAAACACACAGTAGGTATAACACTCTGAAATTGATTACCTTGCGTGTCGGAAGTAGGGATGAGCTGGGTTGTCGTTGGTAGATCGGCTTCTGTGGCTGGAACACAATGGTGATGGAGGTGAGGTGAAGGGAAATTGGTTAACATCTGATTCATCCTACCCCCTCCCCTCTATCTCGCATATTGAAATTGCAACATGTGCATATTTACAAACCATGTATCTGACACAGGGATTGCTCATGTGTTTACTCGACTGACTGACTGAGTTTAGTTTTACGCCACTTTTAGCAATATTCCAGCAACATCAGGGCGGGGGACACCTGAAATGGGCTTCACACATTGTACCCAGTATTTACTCGAACCCGTGTTTGACTAATACGATGACCATGTTTCAATCTACCAATGTAACCTCATACTGGCTATGTATGTGTGCATACCTACCCACGTATCTGACACAGGCGCTGTACAGGGTGTAGGCGATGTCGTTACTGACGTTGCACTGGACACAGAGCCCATCTCGGTCACTACTGGTTGACGTAATGGTCAACGACTGTTTGTTGCTGCTTAAAAGAAGCATGTCCATTCCTGGAAAATAGGCAATCATTTAACACGTGAGTGTGAGTTTGTCTTGGCAATTCAAGGTCTTGCATTTTTTCAGTTGTGCAAAATAAACACTACCAACACGTTAAGAGAACAACATAAGTAGGATATTCTATACTAATTATTTGACCCGTGAAGATCCGGGTTAGAATTGATCTTCAGTAAGCCATGCTTGTCGTAAGAGGCGACTAACAGGAAACCCACCTGTCTGGGTATGGTTCTGACAAACCAGAGTGAGTGAGTAAGTTTAGTTTTTACGCCGCACTCAGCAATATTCCAGCTATATGGAGGCGGTCTGTAAATAATCGAGTCTGGGCCAGACATTCCAGTGATCAACAGCATGAGCATCAATCTGCGCAATTGGGAACCGATGACATGTGTCAACCAAGTCAGCGAGCCTGACCACCCAATCCTGTTAGTCGCCCCTTACGACAAGCATGGGTTACTGAAGATCAATATTCTAACCCGGACCTTCACGGGTATCTGACAAACCAGAACCTGTGAAGATCCCGGTTAGAAATGTTTTTTAGTAACCCATGCTTGTTGTAGAGACGACTAATGGATCGGATGGTCAGGCTCGCTGACTTGGTTGACACATGCTATTGTATCCTAATTGTGTAGATCGATGCTCATGATGTTTATCACTGGATTGTCTGACTCAATGAATTACAGATCGATGCCATGTAGCTAGATTATTGCTTAGAGCGGCGTCTCAAACAACAATCAAAACAAACAAACAAACAAATATTAAATTATTTTACACATCATGAATCAGGGTTATTGATTAGCCTTTGTATGTATTTGTGATACAGACCATGCATGTCACCAATGGTGCAGGATTCGCTTACCTCTTTGCGAACACTTGATATCATCGCTCCTTACTATGGATTCTACATTTTACGGATATTGATTTAAATATATTTTTTTTCGAAACGACCTTGCTGTTGTTTTATTTGCATTTACCTTCAACGACTGGCTTGCCATCCAGAAGCCATTTGGATTCCATCCCTTGTTTTTCGGGAGCACAGTCATAGGTGATATTATCTCCGGCGACGAGGAAACGTGACTCGATAGAACTCGGAATAAGCAAAGCTGGCCTTTCTGAAAAAAATGTAAACACCGTTGTCGAATGTTGATGAGTCAAACTTACGGCAGTCACGAAGTTAAAGCTTGGCATCGGTCCTTCGTTAGTCATCATCTTGCAGTTATCCTAAACCTGGTTTAATTCGAAGCATTAACGTAGGTCAGTTAAATTTCGACATGACAAGATATGAATGATGTCGGAAAGAGCACGTAAAATGTCCAAACCATTATCATCATCATCATCATCATCATCTATGAACAATGTCCACTTCCAGAGAGACAGTATTTATTGGATCGGTTATGCCGGGGTTGAAGTTGTAGATGTACATGTATATGAAATGTTTTTGACTATCATCATTTCAGATATACATCATTAAAATAAATGCTTTTCAAAGTTGTTGAGGTCATTTTCATTATTAGACTGACTGACTGAGTTTAGGTTTTACGCCGCTTTTAGCAATATTCCAGCAACATCACGGCGGGGGACACAAGAAATGGGCTTCACTAATATGGGACCCATGTGGGGATTCGAACCCGGGTCTTCGGCGTGACGAGCCAACGCTTTAACCACTAGGCTACCCCACCGCCCCTCATTATTAGAGGTTTATACAGTATTGTAACAACTTAGTGCTTGGATCCATCTGGTAAATCTTTTCCGTACTTTCTGCACAGCTTCTTGCTGTAGTAAGAGGCGACTGACGGTATCGAGTGGTCAGATTTGCTGATATGTTTAACGCATGTCGTCGTATCCCAACTGCCTAGATCTATGCCAATTACACCAGTCACTTGATTGTATAGTCCGAACGCCATTATTTCCAGACTGCAACCATATGGCTGGTATATTGCTGAACAACCAAACACACAAGTACGTACTTTCGATGTGTACAGTCACTGTTGATTCAGCCTTCGTTAATGTGTTCTTCCCCTTGCACGTGTAGTCACCACCATCACTGACGCTTGTGCTGGCTATACGGAGTTGCTTCCCTTTGGTCGCAGGATAGCTGTACTTGTGACGGGCCTCGTGGGCGTATTTCCTTGTCCATGTTACCGTGGGTTCAGGCCTGGAGAGATACGGAGAATAGGATCAGGGTACAAACAGTATTGTCTCTACCAATACACAAAATGCAAGAGGGTATGAATGGTACAGTCGACAATGGCGACGCAATTGGTAGTGCGGAGTTGCCTCCCTTTATAACGACAGAAATCTATGGTCGTTCGTTCGAATCTGATAGGGCAACGTTATGTTTCTGGATTTGTCAGCACGATGCTCGTGGGCTTCACTGAAACCTGCGTTACTTCGGGTGTTTCTCCCACATTAAGCTGAGACACCGTGATGGAATACGTTTCAAAGCGGCATAGGGACGGCGAGGTAGCCTAGTGGTCAGACACGGGTTCATGGGTACAAGGCGTGAAGACCATTTCTGGTGTCCCCCGCCGTGATATTGCTGGAATATTGCTAAAAGCGGCATAAAACTATACTATCTCACTTACTCTCTCAAAGCGGCATAAAAACAAACTCATTCAGTCACTCTCATTATGTATATGACCGCCTCCGCGGTGTAGTGGTTATAGCGTCCGCCCGGAGAACGGAAGGTCGCGGGTTCGATCCCCGACCGCGTCATACCAAAAGACGTTAAAATATGGTACTTGTTGGTCCCTGCCTGGCGCTCGGCATTAATGGGTACAACAAGGACTGGTCGGCTCGGAGTCAGTATACTGTGTCTGAGTGGGGTATTCATGCTTAACTGCGGCGTGGTATCTCAGTGGGCTAGCACTATAAAACCAGCTTAAGTCTGGGCTAGTACAAGCAGCCGCACATACACATACACACGCATGCACGTCGTCATATGAGCGAAATATTCTCAAGCACGACGTTAAACCCAATTTCACCTCACCTCACCATTATGTATATCACCCTGCCTTACTAATCTGTCAATAAAGAATAAAAAATAATCATATTGAAACATGTGTGACTCACTCCCCCCCGAAGACACATTCCAGTATGACGTCATCGCCCTCCGCTACCGATACGGATCCAGTTCTGCTGATGAGTTTTGGTCTGGTTTGTGGCCGCTGTAGCCCAGTACCTGTAAATGGCATGTCTCGTTAGCATTGTCCAGTTGGTAAATCAGCTTAAATTCTGGCTTAATTAGTAAACAGCTTACATGAACAACACGTTAGGGATAGTCATAGGCAAGATAGAGTTTCATTGTTTATTGATGAATTAATAATTGGACTCGTATTTTCAAAATTTATCTCGTGAAGCTCTTTTGTTAAATAGGATAACATGAATTCTATACATAGTTGTTTTGTTTCTGTTGTCATTGTTTCTTTTGAATAAATACCCTAATAGCTGGTTGGGTGGTTTGTTGTTGAACGCCGAATTCAGTAATATTCCAGCTATGTGGAGGCGGTCTGTAAATAATCGGGTCTGGACCAGACAATCCAGTCAGCATCGATCCCCGCAACCGGGATAGGATGACATGTGTCAACCAAGTCAGCGAGCCTGACCACCCGATCATGTAAGTCGCCTCTTACACCCTAAAAGTGAGGTGAGGTGAAATTGGGTTTTACGTCGTGCTTGAGAATATTTCGCTCATATGACGACGTGCACGTGCATGCGTGTGTATGTGTATGTGCGGCTGCTTGTACTAGCCCAGACTTAAGCTGGTTTTATAGTGCTAGCCCACTGAGATACCACGCCGCAGTGAAGCATGAATACCCCACTCAGACACAGTATACTGACTCCGAGCCGACCAGTCCTTGTTGTACCCATTATTGCCGAGCGCCAGGCAGGGACCAACAAGTATGACGCGGTCGGGGATCGAACCCGCGACCTTTCGCTCTCCGGGCGGACGCTCTAACCACTACACCACGGAGGCGGTCACACCCTAAAAGTGGCTATAATAACGTAACATAGTGTTTTGAGGTAAATGGGTTATCTAAATATGTTTATGAATTATCAATCACCAGGGGTATATAATGTGATGTAGCCCGTGCGTGACCTGAGGACCAGCGATCCCTCAGGCGTACACATATACCCACCGGAATTCATCCATACATGTACTGGATATGTAAATTGTGAAGCACGCAACGAACCGAGTTATTTCCCTTTATCCACTGCATTCTCATAAACAAGCTCTTCTTACCGGAGAAAGTTATCTGAGATGTGTTCGGATTGATTTCTCGGCGGGCTACAACTGATGTCTACGCAGCCTGTGAGAGGTCTACACGGAAAGTTTCCAGCCCACTTTATAACCAATTAGAAAGTAGTACTTGAATTTAAAGTAAGATATACCGTATACACTTGACTTGGCTGAATAACTTACCAACATCTTCATCCTGGGTTAGAAAAGTTGTATTTCCCACGATGGTTTTGTTCAGTATGCTGTTGTAAACATTACAACTGTACAGCTTGAAGATGTCCTCTTTTGTCAGGTACAGGAAGACAAGGGCACCTGGATTAGGTAACAGAGAGATGAATTTGGTTATCACATTACAACTGTACAGCTTGTGGATGTCCTCTTTTGTCAGGTACAGGAAGACAAGGGCACCTGGATTAGGTAACAGAGAGATGAATTTGGTTATCACATTACAACTGTACAGCTTGAAGATGTCCTCTTTTGTCAGGTACAGGAAGACAAGGGCACCTGGATTAGGTAACAGAGAGATGAATTTGGTTATCACATTACAACTGTACAGCTTGAAGATGTCCTCTTTTGTCAGGTACAGGAAGACAAGGGCACCTGGATTAGGTAACAGAGATGAATTTGGTTATCACATTACAACTGTACAGCTTGAAGATGTCCTCTTTTGTCAGGTACAGGAAGACAAGGGCACCTGGATTAGGTAACAGAGAGATGAATTTGGTTATCACATTACAACTGTACAGCTTGAAGATGTCCTCTTTTGTCAGGTACAGGAAGACAAGGGCACCTGGATTAGGTAACAGAGAGATGATCTTGGTTATCACATTTTATACTGAATGAGTATTTCAGTTCTTTCACATCCTGGCAGCTGTTATTGTGGAACGATCAAAGTGGACTCTGATTCAGGTGGTAGACGTTTGTTGAGTCAGACATTAACACTTACAGAAAGTTAGTTTGCTTGTTGTTTAGCGCCGCACTCATAATATCATTATTTGGCAGCGGTCTGTAAATAATGGAGTCTGTAAAACCAGCAATTCTACGCAATTGGGATACGATGACTTGTGTCAACAAAGTCAGCTAGAATGACCACCCGATACAGTTAGTATATCCGGTAAGATGCCAAGGTACCAAGGGCTATGGGGATACGTTGGCCTGTGCCAACAGTGTCCGAGAACGATGACACCAAGTCACTTTAGATGCGTCTTACAAGCATGGGTTCCAGAAGACCAGTCTAATCCAATTCTTCAATGGCACAAAACGTTATGGCAAGACAAAGATATAGAACCAATATATATGACAATTCATGCATTTTTACAGTCAGAAAGGTTTAACGGTACTGTTTACAAATACAAACCGTCCATGTTTATGTAGACGTTTTCTGAAGGAAGTAGTTCTTTTCCGCTTTTCATCCAAGTCACTTTACCACGTGGTACAGAATATGCCAATACGTCACAGGGCAACGAATCCACACCACTCTTCCGTTTTTTTCCACTCACAATATGCGGCTCTTGGATTCCTAGAAGCGTACATACCCATTATAGCATCCCGAAGCGATTTTAAAATACAAATACTTCTAACTTATATATTATAAAAACATTGTGGAATTAACTCAAGCAAAATTGTTTTTACCATTGTTTTGATGGTTTAAAAGAAGAAGATGAAGACAGAAAAATGAAGAAGAGAAAGTGAAGAAGACAGGACAAGGAGAAGACAAAAAAGATGAAGAAAACAGAACGAGATTTAATGAACACAGAACAAGAAAAAGAAAGAAAAATGAAGGAGAAATGAAGAATAAAGAAGAGAAGATAGAAGAAAAGAAAAGAAGTAGGAGAACAAAAGTAAAAGAATGATAATAATAATTGTACATTTATAATGCGCTCAGGTCCACGCTTGCGGCATGCTCAAGCCGCAAAGCAAGAAGAAGCAAACAGCAACGTGCGGGTAAAAGCCCTACCTGCAAGCCTAAGTATGACTGTCTCAGACAGGAGGCTTCCCTGGGAGGTATTCACTAGGCAGTTGTAAGTACCCAGTTCCTCGTCAGAGACCTTGTTGATGTAGATCATACCTGCTTGTCTCTCAGTGTCATACCTGTTGTCTTTGTGTATTGTAGATCCCTCGTGATGCCAAATAAACCTGTTCAAACACCATGGTAAAAGGTACGGGTTAAGCCAGAGATTGGTTCCTGAGAAGAATACCGCTAAGATCGAGTGAATTGTGATTGGAAACTTATGTTTGTATAGTTAAATATTTACGCCCAATTAATAAAAATCAGGCGTCATCTTTTCTGACAGAAGGGACAATTTGCTGATGCCAAAGTTCACAATATTAATTGTAATGGCTAGCATTCTGTCGTTAAGACGATGGACACGACGACCCTGGGTCCGCGTGTCTGATTTAGTCGACTGAACAGACAGAGTGTCGTGGTTGTTGTACAGAGTGTGAGTGAGTGAGTTTAGTTTTACGCCGCACACATCAATAATCCGGCAATATCAAGGCGGGGGATACCAGGAATGGGCTTCTCACATTGTACCCATGAGGGGAATCGGACCCGGGTCTTCGGTGTGACGAACGAACGGTTTGACCACTAGGCTACCCCATCGCGCCGTAACCATTATACCCCACCACCCACGAATGTAGCAGAAAAATCACTAGACGATACGCACAAACGATTATTGTCCAAACTTGTTTGATGCGTGATCGAAAATAGACACGAAAATACTTCGAAGATAATATATTTCCCTATCAACGAGAACAAAACTTTCTCACCCATCCGTTTTAATGTCCTTTTCAGGGTTGCACTTCAAGGTCACTGGGCTGTTCTCTCTAACGTACACAAACTTCCGGTTGACGGCGAATGAAGATCTGGAGACTCTTAGACTAGCATCGATATCTACAAACATAGAGAAACTCCAATATCATCATCACATCAGTCACATGTTACCTAACAGTAAATAACAAAAACAATAACAATAAACAATTTCCATGAACAGTTCATCGTTTCATTATGTTATTCCTCTAAAGGCATTAATGATAGGTTTGCTCTTTACGTTGGATCGTGCTGTCATGAGCATATGTGGTGTCAGAGGTCACAGGATATTTTCGTCAACTCTCAGAGGTCACCGGACATTTTGGTCAACTGTCAGAAATCATGGGATATTTTCGTCAACTGTCAGAGATCACGGGGTATTTCGTCAACTGTCAAAGATCACCGGGTATTTTCGTCAACTGTCAGAGATCAGGTTCTTGAGAGGCATATAGAAGTTGGTATTCAAATATAAGACAAAATATTATGGATGTCAACTTCTCATTTGTATACACGGCGTTTCAGGGCTCTTCCTTGCCCCTTCGTCAGCTGAAAAGATACGTTGACATCCATAATACTTTGTCTTATGTCAGAGATCACCGGATATTTTCGTCAACTACAGAAATTCTGGAGTATTTACGTCAACTGTCAGAAATCACCGGGTATTTTCGTCAACTGCCATAAATCACCGGATATTTTCGTCAACTGTCAGCAATCACCAGATATTTTCGTCAAATGTCAGAAGTCATCGCACATTTTGTTCTGGTTTTCAAATTGGAAATCGGGAAGCTGTTATTACTAGATTTTAAATATACCCTAAAAAAATGAAAACCATCGATATTATTTTTCACAGTGTTAAAATTCTCAGTACTGGGCCTCATTTCACAATGCTACCGTAGCGCTACCACTGTCGTAAGTCTATGCTACAGTATAGGAGGTACGATTGCTACGAGAAAAGTTCCGAGGTCTTAGGCTTACGAGAGCTTTGAGAAACGGGGCCCTGGATCTTAACTTAGTTTACTGCTTCACAGGATCGTTCTATAATAGCTTGACACCCTCTCTATTTATTGCAATTGCGTCTTAAGCGAGGGCACCCTCCTGAGTGTCGAAACAAGATCGCGGAAAATGATCGTTTTAACACGAAATATGGCAACCTCATCAGCAGACACGCTTTTTTTTGCTGTCAATTCTTCATTCACAATTTAGGCTTTGATGCGTCAGTATTTTTTCAGTTATCGTCGAAAAATCAAACTGAATCAGTTACGAATCAGTTAAGAATACGCCGAATCCACGTACGAATCAAGTACGAATATATGAATTCGTGGCTATTTTTGACAATTCATGGGAGATTGGTATAAAAAGAGGCCGTAACCTCTGTTTGGGTATCAGTTCCAAACTGGAGTATCAAGACCAGCTGCTGATCGCTTGAAGAAGACTGCTTCGAAGAAGGAGGAGAAGAGCACATAGGTGGTGGGTTAGGCCGTGGCTGACACCAGGTAGAAGGCAAGAACATAGTAACTACAACTGACTGATGCAGGAAATGAGGGGGGAAGATGAAAATGCCTTTGCCAACTATGTGAGAATGCCACTCCACATGTTTGATGAGCTACTCAAAGGGATTAGCCCAGTCATCCAGAGGAGAGACACCCACTTGAAACCAGTCCTCAGATACCTGGCTACAGGAGACCGGTGTCACACTATCCAGTATGACTTCCGATGTGGTTTCAGCACAGTGGTATGGATTGTGCAGGAAGTCTGTAAGGCCATCATACAGGAACTGAAGGATGAAGTCATGCCACTACCCGAGACCCAGGAGGACTGGAAGGCCATTGTCCAGCAGTTCCAATATCGGTGGAATGTTCCTCACGCCCAGGGGGCCTTCAATGGCAATCACATAGCCATCTGGAAACCACACAACTCAGGTAGTTTCTGGAAGCATGCCCGTTGGAATTTAACGTCTCTGGGTGGGGTATTTCAGGCACAGCAGGATCTTGCAGAATCTGTAACAGCTTCTCCTGGTGGTCCTTGTAGGTGTGCAGCTCCTGGTATAGGGTTTCGACCCCCATCACTCTACCTCTGGCGCCCCTGGTGCCATACACCGTCACAGACGAGCTCCCGGGAGTGGTTGTGGACGGTGTGGTGGTCACTGGACACTAAGGCTCCTCTTCCCGGTATTCCTTACCCTGGCTCGTGTTGGCGCTTCTCCGGAAGCTCTGGACTGCGGTGGCTGACATGTCCGATGTGAGGCATCAGGACCTGGAATCTGGTCCATGTCCACCGTTGGCGGTTGTCATCTCCACAGCTGCCTGCCCACTGTTCTTCCTCCTGAGTTTCCCTATCTGGGAATGGATGCTCTCAAAAAGACGTAGTCAGTGCCGTCACCTCCTTTCCCATATAATGGGCCAGATGGTCCCGCGCCTTATTCTTTTTAGAGACACAGAGGTGGTCTAACCGCCTCTTGTTGTAGTCATTCCTCTCGAGGAAGAGGGTCACATCCTCTTGTTCGTTTTCTGTGAGGTTGGACAAGAACCTAGTCTTCATGCTCTTGGACTGGGAAGAAGCAACATCACCAGCCACATGTTAAACCACTTCTGGAGCTGGTTCATCTGCAGGTGGAGGGGTAGTTACTCTTGGGAAGTTGGAGGGGTGGGTGGGAGGTTTGCTGCCTTTTCTCCCTCTTCCTTATTTCTGTTGCTAATCTTCCCTCTCCCCTTGTCCTTGCCTACAGCTCTTCTAGGCATCTTGCTGATTCGTGGATTTCGTTGCACAATCGTCAGCAGCTAATGGCCTGAAGTCAATGTTCAACTCCGTATATACCCAATTTGCCGCCAATCGTAGGTGATTCGTAGATAGTTCTCACTTGCTTCGTACCTGCGTTGGCGTGTATTTGTGGAATTCGTGACGGATTCGTAGCCGATTCGTGGTCAAGTCACAAGTTGACGAATCCACGAATGAGTTAAGAATACCTACAACTGCCTGAGAATCGATTACGATTCAGTTATGATGCTTAAGAAAGCACTACGAATTTGTTTCGAAGTAACTACGATTTTTTTAATCGGGAGTTCGTGGCCAAAATTTTGAACAGTTCAAAACTTTTGCCACGAATTCCCGATTCGCTCAGGAATTGCAAGAACTGACTACGAGTATATACGAATTATGTAAGAACTTCACCAACTGATTACGATTCAACTACGAATCCTCAATTATGTCAAATCGTGGCGATTCGTGGGATTCGTGGTCTGTGTGGAATAGGGGCATTTAACGAGCATGCCCCGATTTCTCGAAACAAACTGAAATTTTACTCAAATGTCAAACTGAGTTTGACAATTTGTAACAGCTGCATTTTTAACTCAACTACAAAATCCCAAACAACTTAAGTACCATATCCACCAAACTCAACTATGTTTGAGTTAAATATTGATTTAAATTCATGCTGGGAAATGCATTTTCCTGCACTTCTCAAATTTGAGTAAAACTTAAATCAAATCTCAGACTTAAGTTTGTTTCGATAAATCGGGGCCATGTGTATGACACCTTACCTGGTTTGGTTGAACTCAGCACGACAGTTGACCCCTCCACCAGTAAAGCGAATATCAGCAGTTGCATAGTCATTTGGTAACTTGGGGAACACGGGGAGAAGGGGAAGGCAAGGTAGGCTGGAACAAGACATACATGTGAATTAATATCAATCTTACAATCGGGAATATGAAAATGGTTAATATTCATTCTAAATGCCAATCTTGCTCATAAGATACTTTAAGTCTGTATACAAACACCGACATAAAATTTTTTAACACCAGCTACACATTGTTCCTCCCAAAGATAGCCAAATCCATACATGAGGAGAATATGTTTGATTTTAGCGGCCCAGTTACTTTTCCCCTTGATACAATCTAGAACTAATAACTTATAACATTTTTTCACAAATCTCGTATCAGACATATTGCATATTTTACGCCAGTAGGCAACGGCCCTTTTATAAGTAAAAATATATATTGGATAACGTCCACATTCTCCTCTGACAACATGGTTCGAAGTTGAGGATTTAACCCCAAGAAATCGTTTACATGCAAACATTTGTAAAATTTCAACTTCTTTATAATTATGCGGCGTAAAACTAAACTCACCCACTTACATCTAGCATGAAGTACAGGACATCTCCCCACTGTGTCTCTAGCTTAAGCCTAACGGTGTGGAGAAATTCTTTTTTTTCTGTAAAATAATTACAGAATATGTGGATCGAATATTACTGATGCATGAGCCAGTCCAGTAAACAGAAATGTATCTTCCGCATCTGACATATTTATAACCTTACTGTATTTCCTTCCTTCACAGTCAATGTCGGTATATCAACTATATGAAATGTCGGCATATCAACTATAAGAAATGTCGGCATATCAACTATATGAAATGTCGGCATATAAACTATATGAAATGTCGTCATATCAACTATATGAAATGTTGGCCTATCAACTATATGAAATGCAAGTTCTTAGTTATGGTAGTATTCCGTGCTATACATACGCCGGTTTGAATCAATATTAAAACACGAACACAAGAAACAATGACCTGGTGTGCCTACCTTCAACAACCCTAGACCACTACACCACCGTTGATCGACAAGGAAATAATAACATGACTTGACAAAGTTACTGTTTCGAACGCCTCGTTCTTCTTCAGTCAGTCCTTATGACACACACGGCTGTAAGCGTTTTTCATTAGGGTTGTTCGGGGCGGCGGGGTAGCCTAGTGATTAAAGCGTCCGCTGGTCACGCTGAAGACCCGGGCTCGATACCCACTATTACGGAGGCGCTCGGAAAGGTGTATGCGTGAGTGAGTGAGCACGGGTTGGGTTTTACGGCGCACATTTTTTTTCAATATGCCTGCAATAGCACGGCGGGGACAGCACAAATCGGCTGCACACATTGTCAAGGAAGATGGGGAATCAGACCCATGTCTTCTACGTGACGAGCGGCAAAAGCTTAACAACTTCCAGGAAACAAAACAGGCTAACCCACCGTCCCCGTACTCAAGGAAGATGGGATCAAATGAAATAAGGACTGTTGGCGGTTTGCCCGATTTGACAAGGACATGTATCCAGATTTCCCTGAAATCTGTTTCACTATCGTGTTCTTCATGTGAATATATAATTTCCTTGTTGTTTGTTTACACTACACTACTCTGAATTTAGTATTGACCTCCACGTTATACAATAATAAGAGTCATATTACAAGGTGATAACTGTTCAGTTTATACAATGGTGGTAATTAGCCAAACCGCATTGTGTATGTCGACATAATGAAATAAGAAAGATATTCTTACAAAGATTATCATTTATGATTATTATAGGATATTTATATAGCGCACATATCCACGCAACAAGTACATGCTCAAGGCGCTGGAGTGTTCCCTTGATCAACGGATGTCTTTTTCTGGCACTCTTTTAACCCACTCAACTCCCTGGGGAGTATTCAACTCATGCTGCCTGTTAGGCGCAGCGAGTTATGACACAATCTCATCCTCAGAAAGTTCCCAATTGCAGCTGGGTGGACTGGGACACATAGTATGTTGTGTATGGTATGTACAAGTATGGAGCTTGATTTCGTTTTCCGTGAAGGAATATTAAATCTGAAAGGGAATATCTGAAACTGACTTTGTGTTAAAATGCGTGAGTGAGTATGGTTTTACACCGCTTTTAGCAATTTTCAAGCAATATCGTGGCGGGGGACACCAGAAATCGGCTTCACACATTGTACCCATTTGTGGAATCGAACCCTGGTCTTTAACCAGGGGCCAACGCTTTAACCACTAAGCTACCCCACCGCCCCTGTGATACAATGAGCAACAAGATGCGCTGCATCTCTACTCATGCCAATAATGGTTGTCATCCCCCTCCCCACCCGAACCCCTCACACACCTCACACCCCGAGCCCACACCCCCTCTCCAATTAAAAAATTGAAGGGGGTGACAACCATTATTGGCATGAGTATATGTTGCGACATATATGTCATATTTTCCTGTCTGCACTATAACTTTCAGACGTGTGAAGATCCCGGTTAGAATTGATCTTCAGCAACCCATGCTTGTCGTAAAAGGCGACTAACGGGATCGGGAAGTCAGGCTCGCTGACTTGGTTGACACATGTCATCGTATGCCAGTTGCATAGATCAATGCCCATGCTGTTGATCACTGGATTGTCTGGTCCAGACTCGACTATTTACAGACCGACGCCATATAGCAGGAATATTGCTGAATGAGGCGTTAAGCAACAAACAAAACGAAAACTTTAATCCTTCAATTGCAAAATATGTGACACTGTATATTACAATACACCGTGAAACCTTGCTAATCCCGTTTATGAAGATACAAGACCAGCTGAGAACACTGGGGGTGCATACAGTAACATTAGCTCGTTATTTATAATCCGGACACTAGCTAATCCGAACGTTATCAAAGGAACGTAAGCGTGGGGATTATCGGGTTCCTCAGATAAAAATAAAAGATGTAGCTAAATATTGAATTAATGTGTGAGTGAGTGAGTGAGTATGGTTTTACGCCGCTTTTAGCAATATTCCAGCAATGTCGCGGCGGGGAACACCAGAAATGAGATTCACACATTGTATCCATGGGGAATGGAACCAGGTCTTCGGCTTGACGAGCTGATGCTTTAACCATTAGGCTACCCCACCGCCCACAAAATGGCATCAACATAATGTATATTCTAGAAGAACACGGATTCGAATACTGAATACATCAACTTCTTAGTCACGACACTATGCTATTTTCAGGGACCTGAAAGTGTGGCTAGCCCATTATACAAGTATACGTCATTTTGTTTGCTCGTTTTCCTGAGAATTATGAATCATATTATGTCGCGTCAGTTAGATAGAATTTGAAAGTTTCAAAATCTAAGTTAATGGGTGTAGCAATGTGGGCTTTGTGGCACATTTTAACTGCTACAAAGTGATTTAAAGACGTTGTATTGTCAGGAAACGGGACAGATAATCAATTTATCATTGTTTTCTGTTCATTTCTTTCGCGGTTAGTAGCGAATATGTATAAACATCACAGTGTCACTATTTTAACTCCTTACTTACGATGAGGACTTTGAAGGAAATCACCAACATAATGTAGTGAAAATATAAATATTGCTTGTTAGTTGTTGAACGCCGCACTCGGCAATATTCCAGCCACATTGCTGCGGTCTGTAAAATAATCGAGTCTGGACCAGACAATCCAGTGATCAGCATCATGAGCATCGATCAACGAAACTAGGACACGATGATATGTGTCTACAAAGTCAGAGAGTCTGGCCACCCGATCCCGTTAGTCGCCTCACGCGAAAAGCATCGTTGCTAGAGACCAATTCTAACCCGGGTATTTACGGGTTACAAAATATTAATGCACATTGATATCAACACTCTGTCTCAGCCCGTTGTCTCTTAATGAGAATTGCAAAAGTACGCAAAGTCAGGAATAGTCTATTAAATGTCAATACGGTATTCAACGATATCTACTGTTATATGTATACGCATCTCTGAACAAAATTTTCTAAGACACTATTATGGCTGCTACTTTCATGAGACAACCCTTTTACGCTCCCATTCGCTATACGGGTCGGTGGGGTAGCCTAGTGGTTAAAGCGTTCGCTCGTCACGCCGAAGACTGACTGACTGAGTTTGGTTTTACGCCGCTTTTAGCAATATTCCAGCAACATCACGGCGGGGGACACCAGAAATGGGCTTCACACATTGTACCCATGTGGGGATTCGAACCCGGGTCTTCGGCGTGACGAGCCAACGCTTTAACCACTAGGCTACCCCACCATCCCTGACGCCGAAGACCCGGTTTCATCACGCCGAAGACCCGGGTTCATTCCCAACGTGGGTACAATGTGTGAAGCCCATTTCTGATGTCCCCCGCCGTGATATTGCTGGAATAGTGCTAAATGAGGCGTAAATACAAACTCACTAACTCACTCATCCGATGTACCGTTGTGCGGTCAGGTGCGTAGGTGCCATGTTTTTCGTGTAAGCCCGATAGGTTGCGAGGGTTATGTTTAGATAGTGTTGATGGTTTGCTCAACTTACATAGCAAAAATCATGTGTAAGCCGGGCTTTTTTTTAGTAAAGGTAGCAACGCCTCTGGGGGCACGTCCTATCCGTGTCCGCTTCGTTAGGGATGTGAACTTGTACGCATAACAACATACTATTTTCTTAAACAACCTTTGCCAGTGATGAACTGGCTGATCCAAGGGTGTGTGGTGTGGTGTGTGGTGTGTGGTGTGTGTGGTGCGTGTGGGGTTGGATGTGTGTGTGTGTGTGTGGGTGTTTCAGGGGTTTCCACCCCTCCTTCTGAAAACGAGTAAAGACCACATCGGAAAGGTTGCAAAGTCGGCACCAGCCAGATTGACATTTGACGTATAAAACGTTGGATTGAAGTGTAACTATGACAGAGGCCACTCCAGTGGGTCTTCCGCACCTGGCCTAACTGTTAAAATGGTGTATCCTTTGTTCTCGCCTAATTCCAGGTGTACGCCAACGATCTGTAACCTGTCTGAAACTGGCGTCATCGTGACTGATATTATGAGCATAGTCCCACGTTGTTCGAACACAATAACTCGCACTCATCGAATCCTGACAATCAGTACCTGTAGTCGCTTCCTACGATAAAGCAAAGGTTTCACATGTCCTATATAATTTATCTCGGAAAGCTCAGGTGTGCCAATGGGTGAGAGAGATGGACTTGGCAAAAAGCTGGAAGGTTATGCAACATATCGCCATGTAAGCTACAAAACAATAAAACTCACAAATGATATTTGAGTTATCACCTTAATGGTCTGTGTGGAAACTCTCTGTTCGGGCGAATGAGGTGAGGTGAAATGGGGTTTAACGTCGTATTTAAGAATATTTCGCTCATATGACGACGTACGTGAGTGTGAATGTGTGGCTGCTTGTACTAGCCCAGACTTAAAGTGGTTTCATAGTGCTAGCTCACAGAGATACCATACCTCAGTAAAGCACGAATATTGCTGAGTGCGGCGTTAAACGACCAACCAACCAGGTAACCAACTGGACACATTATACTGACTCCGAGCCGACCAGTCCTTGTTATACCCATTAATTCCGAGCGCCAGGCAGGGAACAACAAGTACCATATTTTAACGTCTTTAGGTATGACGCGGCCGGGATCGAACCCGCGACCTTCCGCTCTCCGGGCGGACGTTCTAACCACTACACCACGGAGGCGGTCAGGTGAATGATGACCGCACATGTACCTGGGTCAAAGGGAGATGCTGCAGCCCAGGTTAGGCTAGGGTTACACTATGTGGCCTGCGGCCACGGTAGCCCCGTTTCCCCGAAACGTAGTGTGCAGTGTTTGCAATACTTTAATTTGCCAGTTGGCCATCAGGGCCTGCTGCCGCCTGCAGGCTTTAAAATCTACAGGCCCTGAATGAAATCTGCCCATTTTGTTAAAGTCAAACCAATAACTTGTTTGAGTGGCATTTTTAGAAGTTGAGACGTACAATATGGAACACGTTTTTATGGATAACGAAGCAACGCTTTCACCTCCTGCCAAAAGATCTAAACCAGAATCAGCCCCCATCAAGATATCCATTCCCTACATAGGTAAACCATCACATCAAATCAGCCGACTCCTGAAACAACAGGCAGGCATAGACACAACCTTCTCAGCGTCCTCCAGCCTCAACAACCTCCTCCATGCCAACGGAAGAAAACAACCCACCGTCAACAACAACAACCCGAAATGTGTTATTTATAAAATAAACTGTGATTGTGGACAAAGCTACATAGGTGAAACATCCCGACCCATCAACACCCGAGTCAAAGAACATCGCACCTCTGTTGCTAATTCCGACACCAAATCAGTTATCTCTGACCACATCAAAGCAAACCCCAATCATCAAATAGAGTAGTCTGACTTCACCATTCTCGCCAACAACCAAACGGACTTC